TATTTTGGTCTACAGGCAAAAGGAATCAGATCTCGTGGCAGAGGTGATATCTTTTATTAGACTAACTAGATATTTGCCCCCCAAAATGCCTTTATTTGCAAGCTTTCGGGCACACTCGCCCTTCCTCAGGCATAGGAGAATGCAAAGGTTGTAAAATTTCTCCTAGGTAGAAATGAAAATTCATAGTTCACAGAAGAGCTAAAGGTGATGTAAGATCTCCTGGCTGGAACTGTGCAAATTAGGCTCAGATAAAAGTTAGAACTGTCTGTTTACCTCAATGTTGTCCGGTGTCAAGCTGGATACTGAATTATGTTTCTTTCTGGTTAAGATATTTCATATGTCACAGGAGGATGGTGTGATGGATGCTCTCCTGGGCAGGAAATTCTGGACCCCTAGCCTCAACACAAGAGAATTTCCTGCCCAGGAGAGCATGCATCACACCATCCTCCTGTGAAATATGAAATAACATAATTTCCATTCCATAAAGTAATGGAAATTCTAATTTTTTAACTATCCCAAATAATGTAATTGTACACAGTAGCACTGGCATTTTTTGTACCTGCGTGGTTCAAAACCTGCTTAATTCAGAGCAGGTTGCCAAATTAATGATGAGCCACTCAGTTGACTGCTGCAGCCTTTACTTCCAAGGGTGCCACTTCTCCTCTCAACAGGAGCACAGCAACTGTTCACAGAGCAGAGTGCAGAAGCAAGGCTCTGTGCAAGAAAAGCCTCAGCAAAATACCTGGAGCACCTCAGCAGTCTCACCCAGCTGTTTCCTGAGACCGCGTGCACTCTCCACCTAGTTCACAATCCCACAACTTCCCAGGGGGTTAAAGAACCAAACCCTAGAAAGAATCCGATTTCTACTGTATCATAACCCTAGCCTATAGGATAGTTAAAGCAGTACAGAAACAATTTCTGTAATACAGTATTTTCTATTCAATTCTTTAAGGTCTTAACTGATTTTCTGTAAAACCCTATAGTTTCCTCCCTATCACATTTTATAGGACTTTTCTATAAGAATCCTTATGTCGCATACAAACACCTTTGAAGATACCATTAACCCAAGGAGTCTGACAATCCTTCTGCTGGGTTTTGTGTTCAGAGTGCAAACCTGTAGCTATGGGTGGAAAGTGGGGAGCAGGTGCGGCTCATCATCCTACAACACAACAAGTATTTTCTCCAGTTAAAGAGAAACTAGAAGCTTTGCTAATAAAGTAGGCGGCTTGCACTGTATTATCCAGTTTAAGAGCAAAGCGAAAAACCAAATATAACTACCAGAATGTGCTAGAGTATATATGAAGCTTCAAAAAAACACAAACTAGGCAAAAATAGTCAAAGGATATTGTATCATTAGTCCCGTAGTGATTATAGTTAAATCTATATCTCTTTTATTAGCAGACAAGGTTCTTTGGGTGAGTCTGATATCTTTTATTAGACCAACTTAATTAGTTGGAAAAAAAATTAAGCAAGTTTTCGGGTTCAAAAACTCTTTGTCAGGCTGAGCAGCTGGTGTGTGCTCTTCCTGGATGTCCTTAGACCAACACGGCTACAACCTACAACCCTATCTCTTTTATTCAAAGTCATAAAACAAGATCTAGCCTTCCTGAGCACTTGGACAGTACCTCTAATACTTCACTGCCAGTCCTTTTTACATCTGAGTTAATATAACTATACTTGAGTCAAGGTTTTTTGCTAAAATTAAAAAAAAAGGTTTGCAGGGCTGTAAAACACAAGAGACATCACCAGGGATTGGCAGAAGAAAGGACAGTTTGAACAGTGAAATATCAAGACCATTTAAAAAGGATAGAGAGTCATTAACACCTGTGGATGGAGAGAGTAAACAGGAATCAGGGAAATGATAATGAGCCATGAAGTGGATTGACTTTCTTAGTATTACTAGAATAGAAATGCCACTGTCCCTGCCAGCAAATGGTTTTTAAGTCTGGGTGGAAGAGGAATCAAAGGGGGTGCAACTGCACCCCCTGGGTCTGCCCCTGCCAGCAGCATTGCACAGGTTTAGCAGAAAAAGTTTTAGTGAGGCTGGATCCTCAAATGAGGTATGCTAATGCAAGAGAGGAAGAGCAGTGTCTCACTGGTTGACTGTGAGATGATTTAACATGAGGTCCAATACCCCCAAGAAAACGTTAGTGTTCGTATGTAGACAAACGAACTACAGCAAGTCAAAGAGGGAGGGGACTCACAAAGCACCAGCTGCTCCTCAATACCTGTCCATGTGCCCATACATACTCTGTGATAGGTGAAAGTCAGCCTGTAGCAGTTTAACCCTATTTTATTGAGGGGGAAGAGACAATGTTTACCGAAAGAGAGAGTTTGGATGAGCATCAGTTAAGCATCTAATTGGATTTCCCACCAATAAAAGCAGGTAGGAGACTATCACGCACAGTCCTAGAAATAAAAAAATAAATGAAACACAGAAGTGATATCTGAGGATATGAACCACGTTTCAGAGTAATATGTTTTAAACACCAACATTTAGCGTAAGTGTAGCTCAGGAAACAGTGTATCCAGACAGATCCACCACTGATAAAAATGAAAAATCAGTATCTAGTACACGGGTGGGCAAAATGCAGCCCGGGGGCCGGATGCGGCCTGCCAGGCCATTCCATCCGGTCTGCGGGACCTGTAAAAAAAACTTAGAAAATTAATATCTGTCTGCCCCTGGCTGCCTGTCATGCGGCCCTCGATGGCTTGCCAAAACTCAGTAAGCGGCCCTCCGCCCAAAATAATTGCCCACCCCGATCTAGTATAAATGCAGTTTCCAGCTCAAATGTAGAAATTCCCCAAATTGCCTTTATATATATTCAAAAAAACAGACTATGACCTTAGTTCAAGTGAGTAGCTTGGGGAAAATTGATCAACACCACACAAGTAATTGTGTTACATGCATTTAATTGCAGCATGTACTCAAATCACAGGGTGTTGGAAACTATGTTATTTCTGGATTTTCAAACTGTTCACATATGTACCCACTGGCACACCAGTTGTTACACCCTCAGATCCCTAATCATTTTGCTTGCATAAACCTCTACTCAGATGCACACAAGGATTGGGTACATATGTATATGGGTATATATATATGCATACATACATATTTATGATACATACGATACATATTTATAAATGTATCATTATACTGCATATACAAATGGATGCACTGTTAAACAAACACAATAAGCCTTAGAGGCATGAAAATTAGACCCTTCACATAAATTGGCATGCTCTCTCTTATCAGCTCCAGTCTTTACTTGGGACCTTGATTAATAATGTGCTGAATACTCTGTAGGTGCTCATCACCTTAAAGAATCAAACTGTGCAAGAACAGTGGGAGCTAATTCTTCTGCTACCCTTAATTCAAGAGGCAGCTCTATTATAACAGTAGCTAAATACTGATATACCCCAGTGTGTATTTGTAAACAATATTTTCATATAAATTTATATTGGCAGGCTCCTCTTGATAGAGGTCATACATGAATAAACAAATGCCATTTTACCCAGTTGCCATTTATCTAGTATCCTGGGCTTGAAAGTTTGAACCATGTTGAAAAGCTACCGAAAAAAAAGATTTTGATAAAGGGAAAATAGGAAGAGGGAGAAAGGGAGAAGGCGAAATGGAGCAAAAATAAAGATAACAGGGAGGGAAAGATTTTAAAAGATAAGATCAATACAAATCACATCATCACAACAGGCCACTCCACTGCATCTGCTTAGGCTGTGATCCTGCCGAGAGAACTGCAAAAACTCAGTTGCGTGCCACAGACTGTTTTTCATCTGTGCTATAGTAGAGGCTTACCTTTAGCCGGCAGGAAATTTGTTTAAAAAAAAACTCACACAATTAACATTACAAGAGAAAACAGTTCATAAATCCAGACTAGATGTGTGGCCCCCCTACATAGCCAAAAACTCATTCAAGAGGTTCACAGACTCCACAGGGTTCACCAGTGTCACTGTTACATTCTTGCATTTCATAGAAGTGTCTCATGTCACAGCAGGTTACTTTTAAGGGACTAATGTGTATGTTGGAATTGAAATGTGGCTGTCCAAGTTCTGTGTGTGAGAGAGAACCGGAAAAGGAGTCCTTCCATGTACTGCAAAAATTGGCACTTCTGGTTTGCTGGGGATAGAGAAGGCCAAATTAGTTTCTTCACTTGAGAATAGTTATGCCAAGCATTAATTAATATGGCTCACAGTCAAAAACCTGTAGCGACTGCAAGAGCAAAACAGCATGGGTCCTTCCTTCTGTTGATGCCTGTAAAATGTGAACATCATTTTAAAATACTCAGAAAGAACAACCAATAGTTCAGATTTAAATCCAAAGCTGCCTGTACCTCTGGCAACTGTGCTAAGGAATGCAGTCTTTTTCTCCTCTCCCACAAGCAGAAACAAGGAAAATTCTGTTGCAAGATACGTTTTATTCCTTTAAATTCTGCATCTCAACAAAGCCCTTTGACCCCTATGTTTTTCTGTTGGTAGCTGGTGAATGAGCAACAAGAAAGCAGACCCCTCCTGAGTCCTTCTATTGATGACTTTCTCTGTGAAACCAAATCAGAGGCTATTGCAAGGCCGGTAACATCGAATACAGCAGGTAACTCATTTCCTGGTGTCATCATCAGCCAGAAAGAATTAATGTGACGATTTATGTTTGTTTCCCAAAAAGTGTAATCGTTATTTTTACAAAACTGGTGCCTAGTATTTAATTACAAATGGGCTAACATGGAAGTAGCTAACCCTTTCGGCTGGCTGGGAGTTTTCAAAATGAAAAAGTAAACCTGGATGTTTGGATTCAGGTCCCGTGTTATACCAAAGCATTGGAGCTCCCAAGTTGCATTAAGTGGCTCTACTTTCAGTGTGTCGGAAAACTGATGTTAGTTAGCAAATCCTCCACCTGATCATTGCTTTGTGAAACCTTAACCAACGTATACCTTGTTTTATCTGAACCCCTTAAGTTTAGAGATCATGGTTTATGATTAATTCTGAAATATTTGTTTAGAGGTTTCTCTAGATGTGGTCTTATTTCTACGAAGATCATTCCACCCAATGGCCAGCTTTCATTTGGGCTGTGTTTAAAATATTGTCAGTCCAGTTTTTGGATAAGTCCCCAAGCAGAGTGCCCACATACTGCACTGGTTAGTATGTGCTGTAAACCTGTTTCTGTGCCCAATATGCATAAAATGCAAGAGTGTCTCAATCCTGACAAAAGAGCTTTAGGTCAAGACGTAGCAGCTTGTGTGTTTTAGCTATGGAGGTCTCCAGTTCAAATCCACAGAGACAGCCAAGCCTAGAAGCCATCACACAACCACCAAAAATCTATCTACTCTTTAGGGTACAGGTGAAGTGAGTTTCAGTTAGAAACAAAAAAATAGCATTAAATTACATTACAGCAAAACCCCTGTTGAACAATATTCTGCTTAACACCAAGATTATTGCTGTCCAGCTGGTTCAGAGGTTTCGTTATCCTTGAAACTATTTCCTGTATGGTTTCTTTTTCTCATGGCAGCATTTACACCCACCTAAATTATGGGAACAGTGTTGTACTACCCACAGGGGAGCACTAGATTGCTTCCATAAAGATCCTTTATCAAAAACCTAAGGCAAACTTGACTCTGTTTCTACTTGTAAAAGTCACGCCAAACTTCCTGCTACTAATTCCTTATTATTTACAGGCTTGCTTTATTGACAGCTTAGTCAAAAAGATATACCAAACAGCTTTTTTTCACTCTACTGTGAAAAAGAACAAAAAAGCTACAACAGAGCTTGGCTGCTTTGCTATTGAAAAAAATGCAATAAAAGTCTTATTTGGCTTAGATTCGAATGGCATAGTAGAGCCAATCATAAAATGAGAGTGTAATACTAAAAGCATTCAGGATGAAGGCGAGGACACTGTCTTGCAGCATTGGCTCCAGAAACCAGGTTGCTGCTAGTCAACGGTTTGTAAAATGGTTTGTCCTGTGAGAAGGCATTGGATTAAAATTAATTTATTCTCAAATTATTAAAATAACTAATTCCTTCATTAGAGAGCTGGATTTTTATCTTCAGCTATAATGAATAGGTATTTCAAACAATGTGCAGCTTTCCATTGAAAACTGAACATTTACTTAAATGAAGACCAGTAAAGTAAGAGCTCTTCCTTAGCAGAGATAAATATATTGGGCTGAACAAATAGATCAATAGCTAGATAGACAGGCAGATAGTTAAAGAGTCAGCATTCATTAAAAATTAAAGTAATTATAGCTATTAACTCTGCCCCAAAATACCCATTATGTTTTTATTGCTTTACAATCACATTTACTAATTTTTGAAAAAAATGTTCTCCTTTGTTACTGTATAATAGATCCACTTAAACAGAGACTGACCACCTACACAGATGAAACAGCACAACTGATTAGACATAAAGTTCTGCCTAAAACATCTACTAAACAAACTGAAAAAAAAGAGAAAAGTAGGTTTTCTGTAACGTTTTTTGTTATTATAGTCTTACATGTCATTTGTATCAATGCGTACGTAACGATTCAGGTTTGTGATTTTTGTGTTGACATTGGCCCTGTAATAAATACATCCAAAGCAGTTCAGCTTTTTTATGTGCTCCTTGTAATCAGCAGATGGAAAAATAAATTCCCCCAGCTAATTACTTAATATAGTTACCCCTTTTTAACCCAAGGAGTTAGGCAGATTTGGGGATATGTGGGTGTTTTTTATTGAGATTAATATTGGAGGTGCTTTGAATTCAAGCCTTTTTTTTTTCACAAAGAGTATGTAATATACCGTTCCTCTAAGCCAGGGGTGTCCACCCTTTTTGAATGGGGGGCCGGATCATGAACTTTTTATCACCCAGTGGGCCGGCGAGCCATATTCAAAGACCTCACAGGAAGCAGTATCACATCACCACCCCCCAAAACGAAAGTACAGTGTTTGCTTTCGTTTCCCATCGCAGCACCTCGGGCCTTAGAAAACAGCTTGGAGGGCCGCATGGCGGCCCGTGGGCCGTACGTTGGACAAGCCTGCTCTAAACACAACAAGATCCAAACAAGATCCTGTGCCTTCAGGAGTGCTCCAAACCTCTCACTCTTGCTTTCTCTCAAGATCACATCCCCTGTGCTTGTTTTGACTATGTCTTGACCATCCTATAACTGCTTCTTGTCTCTCATCTCAGATCATGTCTACCTCTCAGTCATCAGTATACAAATTTTCACAAAACAATAGCCAGCCAAACCCATACGACCCCATTTGCCATTATTTTAGACAGAGACATGTTCCTGCTGCTAAGAAGAAAGCTGCTATGACCATATTTACTCAAGCCCAAGACAAGGATTTTCCTTCCCAGTCAACATGAGGGGAGGAAGCCTTATCTTAGATTTGAGTACTGGCCCAGGGCAGCTGGCTCCAGCAAACAGGGGTGGCTCTTGCAGCAGGGGAGGGCCCCATGGCTGGGGGTTGTGAAGGGTTGGAGCACAGGGGACATCTGAGGTGTGCAGCTTCAGTGGAGCACAGTGGAGACAACACAGCCTGCCACTTGTCTTCTGCTCCAGCTTCATTCCCAACCCAGCCAGGCCCAGAGCCATCACCGCTGCTTCTGCCTGGCCAGGCTGGGGCCACTGAACCTGATTGTGCTGGAGCCACACAGAAGGTAAGTAGTGGGAGCGTGCAGGCAGTGGGAGGAGCAGGGACAAGGGCAGGTAGCAAGGGTCAGGCACAGGCACATCGGGGGGAAAGAGGGCACATAGAAGGGGTTTATGTGGCAGACGGGCAAAGGGCAGGAAGGGGGGCAAATGGCAGAGGGGACGTGCACAGCATAGAGGGGGCAAGGGGCAGGAGGACAACAAGCAGGGGTCTGGCTCCTTGCCCCCCCCCACCCCCCACTGCTTTCCCCACCACAGTGGTGGAAAGGATGAATTTAAGATGACCCACCAGCAACTAGATTATATACATGGAAAAGTATAGCAAATGTATCATCTTAAATTCAAAGAGTCATCTTGGATTCGGGTAAATAAGGTATTTCAGCTCTCTGCTTCCACAATTGAGCATAACTGTTTCTGAAAACTTTCTTAGAATAAGGGTAATTATGGTGCCCAATCCATAGCAACATTTTAGACTGGGGTTTTCAGATATGCACAGAAACTTTAATGCCTTGGGCTAGGCTGGCAGTGACCCTCATGCTGGCCCCTAAGAATCAGTGCAGACATGCACTAAGTATTCACATTCCTATTGGGTCTGGAGTTCTCTCTCTAAAGCAATGTAAATACACGAGGCCAAGTTATCCTTTCTCTGGCTCACATGGGTGGTCCCAGAGACTTCACTAGGACAAGTTGCTTGAGTAAGGCTAGCAAAGAATGCCTCAGCGTGGTTATTTTTTCCATTATGAAAATTGTGAAAGAGGTATTACAGCATGGCAGCTTAAAGACAAAGGAAAACATACTCCTAAATCCTCACATACGCCTTTGAAATCTCTGAATGTGAAGTATTTGCAAGGTACCAGGTCCAGACGTGGATCTTCTCCAAAATGGATCAAGACACAAAAGTAGTGTTATAATCAGCTGGCACTCAATGGTTTTGCTTTCATTTGGTAAAGCACTGAGAACACCAATATTTGGTGGAAAACTATTAAAGTCAAGATTGTCAAAAGTAATCAATGATTTCAGGTGTCTGACTTGACACAACTTAAGAAGGTCTCATTTTCAAGCTGGGAATCCTTTTTACAAACAGCCCCTTTTAGGTGATGGAAGCACTCAAAAAACACAGTCACTCATGAACATCTTTACCACCGTAACTACATTACATTTACTGTAGCTAAATGTGAATGTGTATGATTTAATTCAAGTCCTTCATGTTCGTTTAAACATAATTTATAAAGAATAAGGATGAACTAGAATTGAGTATACGAATTGAAGTATAGTGCAGCACTGAGTTCTAACATTTTGTGGCTCTGATAGTATTGTCCACAGGTTTGGATCTCTTGGACCTCAGTGAACCTGTCATACAAACCCAAAGCAAGGTGAAGAAGTCAGAGAATGCATCCCGAGATGAAGGCTTGAAGGCTGCAGCCCATAGAAAGAAGACAGACAGCTCAGACCTTATTAAAGCAGATGCTGAGCAGAAGGTCCTGGCAGTCAGAGGTCCAGAGAAGTCTTCATTAGATTTAGGTGAGAACAGGATATTTCAGCAGTGTTATCACATTTTCCTTCTTGCTGCTATCACAAAAAATACATAGGAAAAAGTTCTCTATTGCACTCCATTTATGTGGTCATTTCCAAGTGAGTGCAGTGGGTGGTCATTGTGATTTAGCAGCATTTTATACCAACTGTGGCCTCAAGTTTACATGGGTATAAATGATGACACACAATGCCCTGGAAAAGGTGGATGATGCAATGGAACATCGGGTTCTGAACATAATTATAGTGTTTTCAATGAAAGAGAGCAGTTGAATGCAAATACATCAAGGACAAGTGCAGAGTGCTGCACCTAGGGTGCAAAAATATCCAGCACACCTACTGGCTGGGCAGTGACCCTCTCAGCAGCACAGAAGCAGAAAGGGATCTCGGAGTCATAGTGGATCCAAGATGAACATGAGTCGTCAGTGTGATGAAATCATCAGCAAAGCTAACTGCACTTTATCGTTAATCAGCAGATGCGTGACAAATAGATCCAAGGAGGTGATACTTTCCCCTCTATGTGGCATTGGTCAGACTGCAGTTGGAGTACTGCGTCCAGTTTTGGGCACCATACTTCAAGAAGGATGTTGATAGACTTGAGAGGATCCAGAGGAGGGTCACTCGTATAGTCAGGGGCTTACAGGACAAGCCCTATGAGGAGAGACTGAGGCCCCTGGACCTCTTCAGCCTCCACAAGAGAAGGCTGAGAGGTGATCTTGTGGCCACCTACAAATTGAGAAGGGGGACACAGCAAGGGACTGGAGATGCTCTGTTCACCGGGGCACCTCTTGGGGTAACAAGAAGCACAACTGTTACTTGGGGTAACATGGTCACAAACTGATAGAGAGCAGATTTAGGCTAGATAGCAGGAAAAACTTCTTCACGGTAAGGGTGGCCAAAATTTGGAATAGGCTTCCAAGGGAGGTGGTGCTCTCCCCTGTCTTGGGGCTCTTCAAGAGAAGGCTGCATAGGCATCTGGCTGGGGTCATCTGACCCAGCACTCTTTCCTGCCCAGGGCAGGGGGTCCGACTCAATGATCTGTTGAGGTCCCTTCTGACCCTAGCACCTCTGAATCTATGAATCACTTGTTCTTTTTCAAAGTTTCACTCCATGTCAGTTGTGAGGACTGTTTATGATGTCAGTATTTATCTAGTAGGAACTAGTCTTGGTCCACATCTTCGTTTCATAACAATCATCAGTGTGATAATACTTTACCAAGCTGGGCTGGATCCAAAGAGATGTACAGTCTCTAGTGATTCCATATTAGTTTCTAACGTTAAGAAGGCAGCCACCAGAAAAAGGCCTAGGCTTGCCAAGTTTTAGTTCTGTATACCTAAAATATTACTAATGCTGTTTAATGCTTCTCGCCAAGTGCTTCAGTGGACAGTCTGTTAGATAAAATTATTGGGGGGAAAAGGGGCAACTTCTAGGTTGTCTCCAGGTGGGATTTTAAAAAGTTACCCATGTGAGCTAGAGATCTATTTCCATTGTAGTCAATGCAGGTTAAGCACCTACATTTCTTAGGTTTTTTGAGGACCCAATTTGTTCATGTTGGGGAGATTGAGATGCTCAGGATTAAATGCAGCATTCTAGGCATTCTCTCCCAGAGTCATGGAAAGAAAGATTACAGTTTGCTGTGGAAAATCTTTACAGCAAAAGAGGAATAACATCCAAATGAAAAATTAGAGTTTTAAATGATGATATAGTAGAAGAGTGCAGTGCCTTCTGCTGTGCAGCGTAATGCAAGGACTATTCAGGGAAGAAATCTATCTGCCATCTACCATCCAAGTTCAACACAGTTCAATACAGTCTCAGCACAGGTGCCTGCTAAACACTTATCTCATTACCCCATTGCTATGCTTTTCTTCACCATGGCACACACTCCCAGTAACGTTCAATAAATGTGTAAAGGATTAACAACAGTTTTGTACCCTGGATCTGTGAACCCTTTCAAGAAATGCTTTGGAAAAAAAATTAACCAAATTCTAGGAATTCCTCATTAAAATAAAGTCCTCAGCAAGGGGCATCGTTAGAATTTGGGGCAGCTCTCAAACCAGCCAGATCCATGTCACCCATCTTTTTCAGATACAGCAAATGTCACAAATATCTACTGTATTATACCCACTGTTTTGCCTAATAATATCATCCCAGGGAAGCTGAGAATGGTGCGAGCTCCATTCCAAGAACGGGATTCATAGAGGTTAAGGAAACAAAAAAAATTAATATCCTGTCGAGTCCAGGAGAAAGTAAATTCAGGTCTCTTGCCCAGACTGAATCACAACCATCTGCAACAGAAAATTGGCTAGGAGAAAGACGCTTGTCTCAAAGTAGCAGAGTTTCCTGTCACTACAGTAAAAGCTTTTAAAGAGCCTGATTTTCAAATAGAGAGTCAGAGGGCACAAACAGAAGTAACACTTTTTTCCTGATCTGGGCACAAAAAGTGGTCTAGAGCTGTGACCAAATGCAAGGGCATGGCTAGACTGCTTCAAAAATGGCCAATCTGGTGAAAATCAAACCCCTCGTTGCAGGAGGGGTCAGATGAAGACATTTTGAAACAGAGTGTCTTCTGTAACTTCTGTCTGCGTTGCTTGTTGCTGTTTTCAGAATGGGAGGGTGGAAAGGGAGCGGAGGAAGTTCAGTCTCAAAGTGGGGGCTCCAATTCACCTAGGAACCCCTAGAGCGAGCTCCCTTTCCCCCCTCCCATTCCAAAAACTTGCAGCCTTGCAAGGAGGAGGGGCCACTGCTAGTGAAAACTGGTTGCAGGCCACAGCTGGTAGATAGATTCCTCTCCCCGCTGGAACCACCAGTGAACTTCTGTTTGGTCCCGGGGATCAGTGAACTCAGAACATTTCCTGCAAAGCGTTCTCAGCTACAGTGGGGAGCTGCACTTCTCTCTGTGCCCTGAACCTATCATTGTTTGAAAACAAAATCAGGCTGGCAACTAAATATCAGTTGCCTCTCCCATCATTTGTACCCACCCAATGCAAATGCTAAATGGAGGCTGGATTTTCAAAATCTGAACTATGATGTGTAGACTAAAAGTATCCAAAACTACTGAGAAGCTGCCATAATCCAAACAAAAAGTGATTCTTCCATTGAATTAACAAGCATTAACAGGGAGCCCAGACTTTTCTACAAATTTTGAATTGGAATGGTTATGAAAAATCCAGATTTGGGTAAATTATTGATGTTCTCAGATATTTCAGTTCTCCTGGGATTTCAGCTGAAAAGCTGAAGTAAATTAAATATGGATTGAGCCTTAATTAAAACATATGATTTAGTGATTTAGAGTGCAATTCCCTCAACACTCATTCACAGAGCTATAGAAAAAATATTATTTTATGAGTTAGGTTCCTTAACAGACCCTTATTTTCTTTTGCAGTCAATATTCAGACACAGCTAGAGAAATGGGATGAAGTGAACTTTCATGGAGATAGGACCAGCAAGGGCCATCCATCTACTGAACGAACATCATCATCTAGAGCTCCATCAAAAGAGCTTTTATGGTAAGACACGTTTGACTTCCTAAGATAGTATTTCTGGCTCTGCTCTTTCATTAATGAGCCTTTTCATTAATGCACATTTTCATTAATGTTATAGTTACCTAACTCATAATATTGTTCAATATTGTCCAATTTATTTTAATTGCAGCAACAGGGGTAAGTGAAACATCAGACATTAGCTAACAAGTAGGGGGCTGGACTTGATGATCTTCCAAGGTCCCTTCCAGCCCTAATGTCTATGAAATCTATGAAAGTGAATATATTGTAAATTAACTTGCATCAGCAAGTTTCCTAAAACAGAGTAGGTGGAGTTCAACGGAACTATGAATGGCGGCGAGAGGCACAAGCCAGGCTAAATGTGGTTGGACGAGCACAGGGGAGCAAGTGCAGCTGTTAAAGCATCGCAGCGTGCATTCATTTGGCATTCAGGGGCATGTGAACTAAATGCAATTTACATCTCCAAGGGGTGCAACATGTGGATATATGACAAAACAGTAGAAGATGATACATCCAAGGCAAAGTCTGCCTTCTCTTATGTCATTTGTAACCTCACTGACTTCAGTGAGGTTGCAAGGGCTGTTAGTAAAGGCTGTAGATGGGTGCTTCCGTTTAGTTGCCTCAGGCATCTCTACATTGTACCACATTGTGCAGTGTACATATATGCTTAGTGAATAAGCTACACTCAGACTGCCAAATCACTGCATTGCCACTTCTATGTACCTGCATCAATTTTAAACCAATCCGTTTTTTACATTAACCTATATCACCATTTATTTTGTCGTCAGATTTAGCATGGAGAATTTCATTAGAGTAGTGGTTCTTAACCTTTTTAGCCTGAAGGTACCCTTCCATAACTTTTCCACATTTCGTGGGACCCCAGCTGAAAAATCATGTCGCTCTAAAGAACCAAGGACTACATATTGATAATGGTTTTATAGCACATTTACCTGAATTCTGAAGTCTTTCCATGCATGAAAGGTGAGAATGACCCTCCTCCTTTTTAATAGGCCTTTAGTTCCCTGTAATCAACATATTTTCTTCTGCTACTTGTATGTATGCTACCCCTGGGAATTTCTCTCCTTCCTTCCCACTACTGTTCTTTACTCTGCTGTGCCTGATTCAGATAAGACCTGTGGAAGAATGCCTTGCATTTGAAAACTTGTCTAATTTGTCTTTTATTGGACCATCTATATAGTTGATCCAAAAAAAGATATCACCCTAAGAAATCCTTGCCCCTCACTTAGATTTAAATTCGGAAAAGATGGGGGGGGTCTTGAGGCTAAAAAAGTGGACAATCACTGATCTAGCTGGTGCCACTTAAGCTAGGGACAGACATTTAAAAATCCTGAGCCTGGATTGATTCAATCTTTGCAGGTTACTGTAACCTGGCTAGTAATCATACAGACATTCCCTCTGGACTGAAGAAATGCAGGCACATGCTTGCAGTGGCTCAGGCTAGAAGCTGGGGGGTGCTAGAGCAGTCCTCCCTTCCCTTTGACAGTGCTGAGCTGAGGGTGGTGTGGCCTGGCCCAAGGAGGATGCTCTGATTAGGGTGGGGTTCTCCTCCCCCCCCCCTTGCTGTTCCTGACCATGGAGGAAGCTAACAGGGAATTGATAACACAGCATTTAGCACCCCATCAAGAAAACAAAAGCCTCTCATTAGTTCAAGCTCTTCTTAAACGATTTTTTCCAAGGAAGGAACAGAAGGATAGTACCAGCAGACCTGTTGCTTAGCTCCAAAAAGCCCTAAGTGGACACTGTCCTGTCTTACACAGACATCTCCCAGCATTAGCTAGCATATCACATGCTGGCTACAGTCCGTGCTGTGGGAGAGGAGAGTGGGGAATCCCTGCTTGAGTAGGGACTGGTGAGGGGGGAGTGGGGCAAGGGGAAGCCAGGCAGATGCTGCTGTGCCTGCAGGTCTCTGTCCAAGCTCCAGCCAGGGAGCAGAGGGGCAGGGCCAGCCCTGCTCTGAAACAGAGAGCCCTGCCCAGGGCTGCAAACCATCTAGGATTCTGGGGGACTCTGGTTTAAGTTACACCAGGAAGGAGTCTGGGGGACACATTGCATAAACCAGTTTGACCCAAATCAGTTAAGTCTGATACTACATTCAACCAGGTTTATATCAAACCGGTTTCAGCCATTTTCAAACTGGTTTATCTGCACTGAATGTCTATTCTGTTATAGGTTTAAACCCGTTTCTGATCACTTAAACCAGTTTGTGTGTAATGTCTGTCCCTAGCCAATAGGGCTGTGGGAGCAGGACCTCACTCTCCCTTGCCCTGCTCTTTCCAGAGTCTGTCCCCTCCCCATCCCTGGTCTGTACCTCAGGGGGCAAGGGAGGCTCCCACTGCTAAGGCTGCTCTTGCAGGGTCTCACGCACTGAGGACTATACCTACAGTCCTCCCCACTGGCCCCAGAAGCATGGGAGGAGCAGAAAGGACAAGCCACGCTGCAAAGCACAGCTCTGCCTGTGCATCTACCTGCCCACCCACTTGCAGCAGAGTGCACTGTTGGGAACATGGGGGGACCAGTACAGGGGCTTTAGGCAGGGAAGAGAGCAGCGGCAGTCCCCAGAGAAATGGCCACAAGTGCTGCTAGAGTCACTGGAGCAGGTGCAGGGTGCCAGATGGGGGAGAAGAACATTTACCTCCTCACACAGGGACTGGGGGTAACACAATATCCCTAACAGGATCTTTGGGCACCCCAGTTGAGAATCACTGCATTAGAATTTAACACCAGATTGAATTGGACCTGGTGCATTTCCCTTCTGTGTTATCTGCCGTAAAGACACTGAGAGGAAACTAGAATAGTGTGCAGACAGAAAGGGGTATGAGATTGGGTGACTGGGAGCCTGGTGCTCTAGAGCATAGTTTCTCAACCTATGGGGTACGCAAGACACAGGCAGGGGGTACACGAGTACCCCAACACTCTGTCTCTCACCCTCTTTTCCTCTCTCTCTCTCTCGCCCTCTTTTCCTCTCTCTCTTGTCCCTTCCTCCTCTCAAAACTATGGCAAAAAATTTGGTGCACCACGCATTGTGCAGTGCTTTAAATTCCCCAGTAATAATTTGGTGTGGCGTGATTTGCGTGGCACTGGGTTCAGCCCTCCTAGCTTTGGGCAATGTCACCTCTAGCCCAGGTACCTACACAGGCCTTCCAACATATGGCACACATTAGTCTGTAAATATAAAATCCCCTGGAAAATTGAGTGTTTGGGTACTTATTAAAATTTTCAGAAGTTAGGGGGTACTTTCTACTTAAAAGGTTGAGAAGCACTGCTCTAGAGTTCTGACTCCTTCTTTGTGACTGGACAAGTCACTTGGCTATAAAATAAGGATCGGTGTTTTAGGCCTCCTACCCCACTCTGTTATACTAGTTTTATACCAGTGTAGAAAAGTGAATGTGTAAATGTGTTTATCTATAGGTCTACAGAGAACAGGTCACAGTCTGAGCTGGCCAAAGTCAAGGGTGCCTTGGACTCAGATTCAGCATCAGATTTAGAGCTAGCCCCAGCAACACAGGTAAGAGTTTTTATTATGGGGCATAAGGGGAAGGCAAGAAGGAATTAGCTCATATGGTTACTCTTCACTGCTCTAACAAAAAAAACGAAGGGGGCATTTTTCACAGTCATCAGTTGAGCTGAGGGGAATCCTGCCTGAGGCTAAATGTTCAATTTCTAAATACAGATACTAGGTATCTGAAATAAATGTATTGTCATTTTGGTGTTCACTTCTTCAGTGAGTAAGCATAATAGCCTTGCTTACAGGTTCTCAGAAACATATGCCAAGAGGGGTAAAGTACTGATGCATGGATGTCATCCAACTCACAAGTCTCGCCTTCTAAATA